GTTTCCCTGGCCACAGGTGCCCCGGTGGGCAGCCAGTGGAGCCTGCTGAGGGTGTTCGTACCTGTGTCTCCAGGAGAGCGTTATTCCCACTGGCCACTCCACCCCTCGCCCCTTCTGCCAGTAGATGGGCGCTTGGCCTCTGGGCACCCATGAGAACCCTTCTCTGCGCTCAGAGCTAGGGGAATGGCAGGGCCTAAGTGTAGGCAGCCCCCAACACCCAAATGTCAGTGGAGTCTTAGGGGATTGGCTGGTGTAGATTTCTCTGAGCTGCCCCACTTCAGGAACCCTGGGTTCCAACCTGGATCTGCCATTGAGTGGCTTCCAGCATTTCTCCTCCATAGCCACCAGCAGCCCCCCTCCTCTCCACCTCAATGTCCATATATGCATAATAGCATGGGGGATGTGGGGTACCCTCCTGTGCTGGAGTGTGTCCCCCACCCCGACTAGAAGTCATGTCAGTCCCTGTTCATCTACCTCTATGGCAATGACCCACAGCTTGTCGCCTTCTCTCCTCGGTTTGTGTCTCAGTCACATCCCCTTCCCCAGAGCCATATCCACACCTGCCACACCCTGTGCCCCGCCCCACCCACACCCAAGGCCTGCGTGACTCCAGCAGGTGTCTGCTCCCTAGCACCGCCAACCCCGCCTGCTAGGGACCTGGAAATAGCTGCCAGCTGCGATTAAGGCTGCCCACTCGGGGGCCTTCCACCCAGCTCCACCTGCTTGGCCTCCAGGTTGCCCCTCAAGTGCCTGCCAGGGCCTCCTGTGCACCTGGCTGCCCGCAGGGGAGCCTGTGACTCACCCCTCCCCCGTACCTGCCTCTGCCCTCCCTGTCCTGCCTCGAATTCCCAGCTTCCAGCCTGCCTGCCCATGTCCTGTCTGGCAGAGTCCTGTGGTCTCTGAGGATGTGGCGAGGGAGAGGAAGGGGGTGAACTTGGGGGCAGATCTGGGGGAGTTTTTAGAGCAGCCATGGCACCTCATCCCTGAGCTCAGCACCCTCAGCACCTCTCACCCTTCCCCTGCTTCTCATCCAGCCTTAGACACCCCTGCCTCCCCCTTTTGAGTAACCCCCAGTTCAGTCCTGTTGTGTCCTCATCACATGAAGCTTTTAACACCCCAGCCAGAGCAGAGGGTATCGCCTCAACCCACTCAGTGCTTGGTTTCCCTGAACGTTCCGTCATACAGGTGCCCTGCCCCACCTTTCTGCCCTCCACCCCAGCTCCCACCCAGGAGATTCTTAGGGTTTCTTTCTTTCTGATCGTCTCTCTCCCTCAATTCTTCATCTCATCTTTAGTTTTGCTTTCCCCTGGTGCTCCCTTTTTTGGTCTGTTTTTCTGTTTTTGAATAGCTAATACATTCACATGGTTCAGAATCCCATAGCTGTGAGAGGAAAGACACACCGAGGCCCCAGCCACCCCACAGAGGCCAGCTCTGTTTCACAGATCTGCAGAGATACCTGTGCTCCGAAATGCAAACGTGCGTCTACACACTCGCACACAGCGGCATTCACAGGGCAGTCCGTGCTTGGCGTTTTCACAGAACAGTGTAAAAACACTCCGCTTCCACTGCAGCACGTGGACATCTGGCGTGCCCTTGCTCCTCGTGGAGCTGAGGGTGCCTTTGCCTAGGTGCATCCACCAAGTGATACTAGCTTCTTTCCGGAGTCTGGAAGTGCAGAGATAAAATAAGACAGTTCTGCTCCCTGCTCCTTGGAGAGGATGTCTCTATCTTTCCTTAGCCTTTCTCTCTCCATCTCTTTTTTCTGTCTGTCTCTGTCTCTTACACAGCTACGAGTCCTCAGCGGAAATCCTGCCTCATACCCCGAGGCTCACCCACTTCCCCACAGTCTCGGGCTCCCCAGCCAGCCTGGCCGACTCCATGCAGCAGAAGCTAGCTGGCCCTCGCCGCCGGCGCCCGCAGAATCCCAGCGCCATGTAATTCCCAGCGGGTGCCCACTGCCCGCTCCCCCCCACTGCCCCGGGGCCCAAGGTAGGGCAGACACTCCAGCCCCAGTATACAGGGAGGAGCATTGCCCGGGGGTAGGCGGCAGGGGGCAGCTCCTCTGCACCACCAGGCGAGCTCTGCACCCCACTGTGGCCTGGAAGCTGGACAGCCCAGTGCCTCGGTGTCCTAACAACATGGGGCTCACCGGAGAGAGTAGATGGAAACCGCCCTTGTGCAGTAGTAGGTGCTGGTAGTACTCGCTGCATTTATATGACCTTGGGCAAATCACTTTCCTCATCCAGCGCTCTTTCTTCATCTGTTAGTGGGCGCATTC